CCGTGAGCCCGACCTTCAGGTCCATTTTTATTGTGTTTCACACTTATTATTACATATATGTGTTTCTCCAGTAACACTTGGCAGGGGCACTTGTTGAGGGTCAATTCTAACCGACCCGAATGAAGCTGCACCTGTCGCACCATGGATCTTCACCTAGGCCAACAACCGCTCATGAGTCCGGAAATATTCCTGTATGGCTAATTGGGTCAGTTAAAGCCCTAACAATGGCTCAAGCCTATTTTTAGAAAAGAATATTCTCATAGAATATTCTCCTCACCTTATCTATATATACCCCATTTTTTATGGTGGGAAAAAGGCTCATTCTACTCCCTTCTGAGTTCCAATAATTTATTTCTCTCACTCCATATACTGACTTGATCGTCGGAGTGCTAACCCTTGTTTTGCAGGTCTCAGGTCTATAGACACCGTTGACTCCTCAATCTATTGGATTCGACCTTCGTCACCTGGATTAGAAGTTTATTGATGTTGTTTAAGGTTTGGTGGGGAAGTACTATAACAATTGAGAAACGAATGTGTAGAATTGTGAAATTGTTCTTTATTTACTTATTTTTGTTTATGTATATACAGTGTTGTTTATAGTGTTTTTTTTGCTGTTGTGGTGTAGTGTTTAATGGAGGAGGATTCACCCAGTCCACCACCCAGTCCACAATATAATGAGTGGTTTCTTGAGCCCAGTCCTATATGAGGGGAACTTTTGTATCTTAAAAAAGAACAACGGAGTTTAGTAGTCTACCATGGCTTCGATTCATCGATCAAAACCGAACCTTTAAAAAATCGTCGGTCTGATCAAAAGTTTTGGGAGTGCTATAGTGATAAAACCCCTCCACCAGGTACGAACGCTCATGGCAAGCGCCGGGTTCGAGGGGGTATTGAAAATATGTTGCAAAAAGTGTGATAATTGTCTCATCACCGCATTGGTGGAACGATGGAGACCTGAGATACACACTTTCCACTTTCCATTCGGTGAGGCAACCGTGACGTTGCAAGATGTGGAGGTCCTATTTGGTCTCCCGATCGATGGGGACATGGTTTGTGGTGTGGCGCCAAACCATGGTGTAGTGCAATGGCAATCAATTTGCCAAGAGATGTTGGGATTCACCCCTGCCGAGGGTCGAATAAGTGGAAATACTCTTAAGATTTCGGTTGTAGAGGGAGTGGCGAAACGTGCAATCCCTGAAGGTAACATTTAAATTTATTTATATTTTTTAATATAATTTGTATTAATTAATTTTTTTGGCCAAACAAATATTAAGGTTTGAAGTGTTGTTTTTGTAGGTTCTCCGGAGGTCGTGTATCAACAAGGGGCCCGATTAATGCTCTTGTGATTTATGAGTTCTTTTATATTTCTGGACATAAGTCAAAACAGTGTTGGTTTATATTTATTGAACCATTTGGGGGATTTTAATCATTGTGCAAAATTTAGTTGGGGATCGGCTTTACTTGCTTATTTGTATTCTAGCATGTGCGAGGCTAGTCATCATGAAAAACGTGATATAACCGGATGTGTGTATCTTCTACAGGTATTTATTTATTCAATACGTGGCAATTCAATTTGAAAAATATTTATTATATTGTGAAGTATTATTATTTATTGTTGTTGTTATTGATTTAGGTTTGGGCATACGAGCGATCCCGAGAATCATGCTCCAAAGAATTTTAAAGAGATTTGAAGAGAATCCTACAGCTGCTTTAGCTTATCAGTGAGTTTATTTCCTATATTCTTAATTTAAAAATTACTAATATTTTTATTATTTTTATTGGATAAATAATACCTTTGATTTTTTTTGTATTGACAGGTGGAATTGTGCGTACTCCTACAAGGACATCCCAAGGTCTAGTTTCCCGGGTTCTAGAGACCAATTAACTGCCTTAAAAGCCAGTGATGTAAGTATGAAAAGGTTCTCAATTTATTATTTTTTTTCTACCATTCTTATGTGAATTAATTCGTTAATTCCCAATTTTTTCATAGTTTGTTTGGCAATCCTACGAGGATCTCCTCTCTACCCTCCCTAATTGTTGTAAATATGGAAGTGCCATTTGGATGGCAAGGACGTGGATGTTCTACTGGGCTATCTGAGAACCCCACAAAATTGACATGGTCGTGAGATAGTTTAGCTACATTCAAGGAATTCCCCGATGGCCTATGATTGCCAATATGTAAGTGAATAAAAATGCTCACGAACACAACATGTCTAGGCTTACCAAGAAAAATTGGATGGAACACCATAGTAAAGTACGCCCCCAAAGGAATAGGAGAGCCTGAAACATTCCTACGAATTTGGAGGAAGGGGAGCCCGGTCAAACTAATGAGAAGTACAAAGCGTGGCATAACAAAGGATCAGTGAAATTGATAAGCGATCCGAGCCACTACTCATCAGTCGGATATGAGGCTTTCTCGAGCCGGGTGAAAGTCTTTGTAAGTGTTTATTTTCAATTAATCTACGTATGAAAGTGCATTTTACTCTATTCATATAAATTTTGAATTATACTCCTTTAGTTAACGCATTATTTGATTTCCAGGGTAAAGTGCTGAATAATGTATGAGGGCCATATCATTCCGAGAAGAACGTCGTAGAACCCATGACCTAGACGACGAGCTCGAAAAGGTGCTCGACTATTTCGCGGACGTAACCCACACTGGTTTAACTCTTGGAAAGGACAATGAAATGGAAATTGAGGATTCCCAAATCTTTGTGACGTATGATACGAGTCGCCCCTCACAAGGTATACACTGTGAAACAATGAAGTCGTGGCCAAGAGATAAATTTGTAGGGGGAAGAAAGAGAAAGAATCCTTTCAGGCCATCATAGGATCATGCAGAAGGTTTGAGCTAACACGAGCAAGACAACTCAGGAGGAGAGAATGTGGGAGGAGGAGAGGAAATAAGAGGAGACAATGTGAGAAGAGAGGACGATGTTGGTTCTTCGAGAGGATCTTACACTCCACATGAAGAAGAGGTACCTCTCACCATTACTCTCGGAGGAGAATCGCAAGTCCTAAATGTGAAGCCACTTCTTACAATATGTCCAGAGTTGCAAGAACAAGGGGTTCGCAAATCCGACAGGCCGCGCAACCTGCTGGTTAAATTTATCCCGCCCACTATTCCTTGGAGAGGGAGAAAATATTTGTTGATTAGTCCTTTTTTAGGGTTTTGAATGATTTTGGATTGTTAGTTGAGAATTTTACATTATCTTGTTATGAAAATGTGATCGTTTTGTTGTTGAATTAGTTTGTTATGAATTGGTTGTTGGTGCTGTTTAAACATGGTTAGGACTGGTGAAAACCAGTCTATTATTTTTTTTTTCAAGTCTGGTATGTCTCGGATTTAGCAAATCCGAAAGATACCATTTGGGGTACTTTCAAATTTGGTAAATCTGAGAGTTCCTCAGATTCTGTAGATCTTTCGGATTTGACAAATCCGAGACCCATCCTATCTATTTTTACACTTAGAATTTTTTTTTTCAAAATTTAAAATAATATTTTATTCAACAACTCGGATTTCTCAAATCCGAAACACTTTGTCTCGGATTTGGCTTATCCGTTTCTAGTCTTCATTTTCGAACACTTAGATTTTTTTTTTCAAAATATAAATTATTTTTTTATTGAAACCTTTCGGATTTACCAAATCCGAAACTTAGTTAATTTTAATTAATTATTTATTTAAATTTAATTAATTTCAGGTTGGACGGCTTTCGGATTAGACAACCTTGTCTTCCTCTCGGATTTGCTAAATCCGACTCTTTGTGCCTATCAGATTTGGCAAATCCGGGACATCTACTTCTGTCCACCTTATTTCTCTTCAAACTATTTTGTTCAGGTACTTCGTTTAATAATTTTTTCGGTTAAAAACTCAGTTTTGTTGGTACTTTCTCCCCTATTGGAATTGAGAGCTTAGCAGCAAGGGAGGTTATTTCCTTGGCACTTACAAAAAGCATCACAAGTTTCACATTAATGGGAGACTCAACTACGGTTTTACAGCGCCTTAACTCAGAAGACAGTGACCTTTCAGACTCGAACATGATCCTCTTCGATGTCAAAGTTCGTTTTGAAGACTTAGTCAACTTTAGCTATCATTGGGTAGACCGCAAATTCAACGTTTTTGCTCACTCCTTAACCCAATGTGCTAAATATGAGCAAGGTGTGGAAAGATATTAGGACTCTATCCCCCAATTTGTACCTCAAATCGTATTGGATGTTCTTCCAGTAAATTAATAAAGTTTTATTCTCTTTCCAAAAATAAAAAAAATAGGAAAAGGAGAAATTGTTTAGTAAAAATTGATTGAAATAATATGTGGCAATTAAAGTGAGGGACTACTAAAAGTTCAAAGTTATTCTATAATTATAACTAGATGTTTGGCGCAGATGCCAGGGCGCCCCTTCTAAATTATTATTTTATTGAAATATAATTGAATTACTATTTTTTGATAAATTAATTTGGCGTATATATCATTTATGCTATGGTTTGGGGCTTAAAAAAATATACCTATAAATCTGAAGTTATAAGGGAATAATAAATAATTAGTTTATAAGACATTATTCTTAATTACTGGATTTAGGTTTTTTTATTTTTTGTTTATATTAAGCCTGCAAAACTGTACGATTGGACATTTGAATTTGAATTAATATATCCATTCGTTTGAATAGTAACTGATTCTTATTTGTAAAATTTTTTCATTGGATAAGTGTCACATTTAAAACATGTGTTTTTTTTTTAAAAAAGAATTATATATAGCTTCTAATTAAAAGAGATTTACACATGGCAAAAAGACTTCTGAAATCTGAAATATGGTACATTGGAGCCAAAACAGATGCATACGTAGTTGCCACATAAGCTTCATGTCTTCTGCTTTAATAGGGTAAAAGGGATATATACAGATCAATTAAAATTAAAAAATAAATTTACAAATTTCCCTGGGTTAATCCGTTTACCCATCCGAAATATCCGAATTCTAACCAAAATTCAAATCTCATAAAAAAGCCCTCCCTCCAAAGTGGCAAAACCTAATAAAACTCATCAGATCTCTCTCTCGGATTCCTCTATTTTTAGGAAGAGTTAAAAAAAAAAACTGCCATTCTTTTCTTGTAGTACTGTAAATCCTTCCATTTCTCAAAGGATTTGTCCCCTTCCAATGTCCGCTTCCACGGTTTCCATCACCGGTAATCCTTCCACGGCGACTCGCCGGCGCCACGTCGAGAAGAAATCCGCCGATGTCATCGACTTCTCCTCCGACCCGAACAACAATTTCACCGGCGCCGCTTCGCCTGCTGCGGATAAAATAACTGTTGGTGGTGACGCTTCAATTCGAACGGAAGGACCGGTGTCTTCAAGAGATGCCGTCGTTCAGGCTCGCAAGCCGTTGCCTGGTAGCACGACAACTGCACGCCGGACAACGGCGGCGGCGGCGGCGACGACGACTCGAAAGCCGACCTCGAAGGTTTTAAAACCGTTGTGGATGACTGTAATTAGTGTTCTCTCGAAGAACTTGTTGCTTCTCTTGGTACTGTTAGGGCTTGTTCAGATTGTGAGGCAATTGATGCTTAAAAATGGCGCCACTCCGGCTGTTGATTTGGTTCCGGGAGATTACAAAGGGAACATGGAGAAGGTGGAAGAGTTCATGAGGTCAACGGCTAAGTCGATGAAGATGATGCAGGTGCAAGTGGATGTTCTGGATCGGAAAATTGGGGATGAGATTGGCAGTGTTAAGAGGGATGTTGGTGAGCAAATTGAGGCCAAAAGCCTGCAATTAGAGGCGAAATTGAAAGAACTGGACGGCAGAACTCTCAACTTTGAGAGTTTTATGGGTGATTTGAGAGCAAGAATGGGCGAATGGTTATCCAAGGAGGAACTCAATGAGTTTATTGAGGAGCTTAAGAAGACTAATAAAAATGGGGATGCTGTAACTTTAGATGAGGTTAGGGCTTTTGCGAGAGGGGTAGTTGAAAGGGAGATAGAGAAGCACGCTGCAGATGGGATTGGACGAGTAGACTATGCTTTGGGCACAGTGGGGGGTTTGGTTTTGAGGCACTCAGAGACCTGGGCTGGAGCGAGTGGGTGGTTATCACCTCTCAGCAAAGTGCATCCTGATGCTCAGAAGATGTTGATACCGAGTTTTGGCGAACCTGGTCAATGTTTCCCCCTTAAAGGGAGCAATGGATTTGTGCAGATTAAGCTCAGGGCTCCAATTATTCCTGAAGGTGTAACACTGGAACATGTTGCCGCGGTACTGTTTGATTCTTTTTGTCTTTTTTACTTTTCTTCGTCAATACTCTATGATTGTATTAATCTTTCTTGGCATTGATTCTTTGAACTCCCTTCGTGTGTGGGATTGATTACTTGTTTTCTTTCGAGGCTTTATTTCTACATGTTCTTTTATTGATGATTCCTTGTTTGGTTTGAGGCTAGCATTTGCTGTGTGAACTGTTGCATTGTGTTATTGATTTCTTTTTCCTATGATTATATTCCCATGAATATTTTGTTTGATTTAGGTTCATTAGTTGGTTTGACTAAAGATTAGCTGTAGAACAAGGATCACCGATGGCGGCTTCTCTTCTCTGTCTTTGCATGTTATTCATATTCATAAAAGTTGATAGATTGTAATTACTGAGGACCCCTGCCAAGGTGGTTCAAAGTAAATGAGCGGATAGATTAGTCTTCTTGGTTGATCAGTTTCATATGTTTCGTATGGAGAAATTTGAGCCTTCCTTTTTGTTTTTGATTTTGCAATTTTGGTGAAATGAGGATCTTTAGAGTTTCAATAATCAACCTCTTTTCGTTTTTCTTTTGTTGTCTTTTCAGGCTAATAATGTGGTATTATATATATAACCCATAGTATATGATTAGGTGATGATAGTGTTGGTTTAAATTTTATGATAACACTTGCTAAACTTGTTTTCTCTTAATACCCTGGGGTGTTACTGAAATTACTAGTTGAGAATTAAGTTTCAAGTTAAATGTTTTGTTTCCATTCCAAAAAAAATAAGGATGCATATTGTTTCTATTGGGTAAATCCTATTAAGTATTTTGCTCAGTATGTACTGTCCAGTTAATAAATGCATACTTTACTGGAACACACTTTGTTGTAGTTGATTTCCAGTACATACTATTTAGTGCTTAATGCAAATGAGTCCATAGTGACTCCACGGGAAGGATGTTTGGTAATGGATCAATTGCTCATCTGTTGAATGCAAATCTCAATATGTGAAGATTAGCTGCAATTATATTTGGTTTAATTTTTCTTTAGATTTGTTTATTTTCCTTTTCTTCAATTTTTTTGTTTTTTTTTTTGGGTAGATTAACCTGTGTTCAAATGATGGAAAGGGAATAACTTTTAAAGTTAGAAATGTAACAGTCAGCTATTTAAGGAACTCTATTGTAGGATCAATTTTAAAGCAAATCTTACGACATGCTTGACATCTCTGTTCTTTTTTTTGTATTGTGTTGCACTCTTTTTTCAATTTTTAGTGTTGCCCTTCTTTCCTCTTTCCTTCAGAACCTGGATATGAGTGGTTAATCAAACATTTGTTTCCGTCACCTATGTTCTCCTAGTGTAACAAACTCAGGCTATCATAATCCTAGTTTCATAAAATTTTATTCCTTTCCCACTTCCCATTCCAACTATCTTCCCTTCTTCTTACACCGTGCCTGTCAATCTTATTAAGTTCTATCATACTCCAAAATTTGCTCGATGAACTGCTGAACTACTAATGCAAAATGCTGGTGCATCAAATGGTGAATCATCATATGTATTATGACTGGATAAGTGAAACCAAGCTGATTGCCACCAGATGTAGGGTAAAACCAAATCTTTTGCATCCAGGTGTCATGTAATATTTCACCAGCAGCTTGTTGGCTTTAGTTTTTGTGGAAATTTATCTAATCTTTGAAAAATGAAATAAAAGAGATGTGCATAAGGTGTCTCTGAGAAATAGTTTCTCTTAGGTCTCTAAAGTTAAGGGGTTAATTTAGCTTTGGTAAACAGAATCTGGCACTTCTTTCTGAGATGTGGATAAGGTTGTTATTCCTAATTTTGTCCCAACCGACAAGCTTAAAGTTCCAAATAAAATTGTGATGAAGGCTTCAAACCCTACAATTCACCTTTGGTTTGCTTGCCCTTGCATCACATCCTTACCATTTTCTAAATCTCCCTATCCCATGCTTTGGGGATAATAGTATCCCAATTCTGAATAAATTTTTCAACTAGGACATGAATGACGAAAACGCTGTTTGTTTTCGATTGTCTCTATCCTGACCTATTTGTTCACAGGCCTTTTCCTTCTTTTTTTTTTGTTGGGTGGGGGGTAAAGCATATAAAGGTGTTAGAAGAGAGTCCTTGGAAATTATACACAGTATTTTAGCATGGGGCAGACATAGGGATTTGGAACTTTGAATGTGCATGACCAGTAACGGGGATTGGTTGAGAGATGGGTGACATAGTTGTGGGCTTTCGATGGAGGACCTATGAGGTATAAGCGGATATCTTGCTCTGTTAGTTTAATGGTTTTTTGAGGAAGCCTGTGGGTTCATACTATGTGACTGTGACAGCAAAAACTGTCAAGTTTACTGTTACTTTAATCCACCTCATTGGTTTCCTTGCTTCGGCCTTGACTTTGAGCTTTTACAGAAATGGAATCCACTCTTATATATTTGGTTTCTGTTGATTCAATGATGTTCCAATTTCATAAAAAGGGAAAACATGGTCAATTGAGTTTAGAAATTTGATGATTGTTCAGATCAGCTGGTATTTTAATGTGAGACCAGAAAAGTCATCTTAGCATTGGTCCTATCTGGGAGGGACCTTTTGAACTTATGAATTTTTAAAATTTAAGGGGCATTTTGAGCAGCCTATTTAAAATTCTCAAGATCAATTATGAAATAATAATCTTAAATTATTCTTACGATTTTATAAAATCAGTTACAATGTCTTCACTTTTCTGGTTTATATCTGACCGTAATTTTAATTTGCGCTACTTATTCTTTTGGTCATGTTGATGGTGGGTGGGCGATGCAGAGTGTATATCCTGCCTCCATTTTTTATTTGCTTTAGGTATCGCCTTAGTTGTTTGTCATTGTTTTTGTGGTTGCATAAGTTGAACTCCAGAATCTTTGTCCCTTTTTCCCATTTCTTCCCGTTTGGAATAGAGGTAGGCTTGCTAGTACCAAGTGGAGAAAGAAGTGGTTCGGTTCGGGTTAACGATGTAACTTCTAAAAGATCCAATTTACTACTTGTTTCATGGGTTTGTTACTCCATTAAAGCTGTACGCCTATAATTTTACATTTCACCTGCTTGGGTTATACAAAAAATACGGTAATATTTTGTGAATCCAGCAGCCTCCTGTTTATAAATTTTTTTTCTCTTCTTCCTTAAAGAAACAGTTTTGTCTTGCTTTTTAATCTTTAATTCCCATTTTGACCTTCAGCATTTTTAATGATGAGTCCATTAAATTTTAAAGATATAAATTTGAAAGAAAAAAATAGCTAGATTTAGTTATCATACCTTGTAGAATAAATTAAAGTTCTATTTTGTCGTAGCAGGACTTTAGTTTAACGGGAGTAGTTGTTGTGAATTCTAAAAAGATACTCATAGTTCCTAGTACCTCTAGTTTCTGAAACAAATCTTGAGGTATTATTATTATTATTATTATTATTATTATTATTATTGTTATTATTATTATTAATAATTTTTTTTTCCATGTTTCTTCAGTTCTAGGGAGATAGTTTTTGCAACTGTCGGTTGTCTACCTAATAAATAGTGACGATTGACATGGTTGGTTTAAAGAGTAATTCCTCACTGTATAGGAGTAATAAGCTTCTTTTTTTTATTTTTATTTTTTTAAATTGGATGGCCCCAGTGAGAATCAAACCCTCGACCTCCCGTAATAACCATCCCCCATCCTAATTCCCTAACCGCCCCACCAAACCTTCCCACCCCATAGAAGTAATAAGCTTATTAGGAAACTACTGCTTTTATTTTTCCTTCTTTTTTCTTTTCCTGCATGGATGAAACACTGTGAAAGAGTTAATTTGATTGAATATGAATTGTGACAGAACTTGTGTCACAGAGTCATTGTGAATGAATGTGAATCATGACAGTTCTCGACATATTTGTGATTGAAAAGGTCCATTGACTTTCATTTCTTTATTATGATTTGTAGCATCTTTAGATGTCCTCTGCCTTTTATTCTTCCTTTTTCTAAAAGTTGACTCCTCAGTTCCAGGATATGTATGAATTGGCATAGTAAAATTATCCATCTCAAGATGTTAGTTATTCTTTATTAGAGAAGCATCGCTCTGGACAAGAGCGCTAGTGGACAAGCATTCGTGTATCTGTTTTGTAGGTGGTCCCAATGAAATAGAATACTATAAATACTAATAGTAAGTTGTGCCTGATATAACAATATTAACCGGTAAAATACAAAGTAAACTTTTTCACTGAAGGGCTTCAGTTTGTGCCATATGGTAAAACATATTGAACGCAACATGCTCTTTGACTGTTCGATTTTGTTGGATCTTTTGTGCCCGGGTAGTTGCATGATGTTTGCTCGTTTCGATTCTTTCTCGAGTGGCAACCTTAGGACTTAGATTAGATTCCTGTCCTGGAAGGAATCTGTTTTTTAACAGTCCTTTGTAGATTATAAGAATGCTTGAGATCTCCTCAGCTTCATCATATGTAATGCGCTAACTCACCTTTGTTCCCGCAAAAATGTTGAGTAAACTTTGTCTAACTTTTGTGATTGACAATCAGATTCAGAAGGTTCTTGATCCTGTCATGGTAGAAGGCGTATCAACCTTCGATTCATATTCCCTCCCTGCTGAAGATTTATCTCCAGCAGTGATCGTCAGCTCATAATACTCTTTCAAAAGCATGAAATAATCGCAATCAGCCTATCTTTAAATGATTAAATCAGCTTTCCTGTGGAAATATCTAGCCTTTTAAACCATGATAATAAGGTTAGATTGAGTACGAGTATTTGTATGCCCATCTTGAACTACTTTGACCCCTTTTATCTTGCATATCTTGAACTACTTTGACCCCTTTTGTCTTGAATATCTTGAACTACTTTGACCCCTTTTGTCTTGAATATCTTGAACTACTTTGACCCCTTTTGTCTTGAATATCTTGAACTACTTTGACCCCTTTTTCCTTTCTCTAAGATGGGAGCCTTAGAAGTTTATTTAATGATGCCATTATCCCTTCTTTGGGAATTACCATTGATTGTGAAAAGAACATATGGTGGCGGAATATAGCTCTCACTCTTGTGCTGTTACTCTGTGTTATACCCAACTGTTATTCTGGCCATGTCCACTAGCTTTATTGTGTTTTGACCTGGGAAGACCCTATTATATACTTTTGAGACATTCATACGTAAGTTGAGGAAAGAATTGGCTCTGATGTATCTATAATTTATGAAATTGCTCCATTTTCTGGACCTGCTGCTTTTCACAGGAGATAGATCAATCTTCGCAGTTGTTCTATTTCAATTTTCTGTGCTTAATTTTCTATTATATTATTACTTCCCAGATTATGATTCTGCAGATGAACTTCTATGATTGAAGGATCGCACTTTGATTTGATCCCCTACAATCTCTTCTAAGTGTAGATGGATAAAATTGAAAATTCTTAGGAGCTGCTGATTGTGTGAAGTATGACTTCTCCATGTGCTAGTTTTGGCTTTAGTTGGCCATCCAGTGCGAATTTCTACATAACTAGTTTAATATAGCAGTTTTCTAGGATGTTTATTCTCCATTTGTGCTTGGTAGAATTGGTCGTTTATTAGGATTCAAAAGTTTGCTAGCTACTGATGTTCTGTCATCTAGATCTTGTAGTTGTCAGTTTTCTATCTTTCCCTTTTCTTTGTTCCATTTCTTATTGTTGGCAGTCACTGTTATCCATCTGACTGACTGATGCCTTTTTGTTTCATACATGCAGAGTGTTGCTTATGATAGGTCCAGTGCCCCAAAGGATTGTCGGGTCTCTGGCTGGCTGGAAAATGGTGTCACTTCTGAATCTGCACTAACCGGTGAAAGGATGGTGCTTCTAACAGAGTTTACGTATGATCTTGAAAAGCACAACACACAAACATTTGATGTGGTAGACTCTGCACATTCCAGTATCATCAACTTGATCAGGTTTGAATTCGCATCCAATCACGGGAACCCTAATCATACATGCATATACCGGTTACGGGTACATGGTCGCGAACCTCATTCAGTCTTAATGTCTAAAATGCAACCTTGATTGACCTTCAGCTCGTTGCTCGCTGTTCCGGTTTCTTTCTTTTTTGCGTTTTAGTATTTCCATGTCCATTGAACCGTTTAGTTTCCAGTGTGTGCTGTAGGAGAGTTCTGTATTTTGGGTTGTAGATGAGGCAGTTAGATTTCCATGGAGGATGACATTTTCTCCTGTGCGATGTAACTAGATCACTTGAAGTTTGTATTTTGTAAATGTGTTCTTAGTTCAAGCCCTTCCCTCATCTACGCATTTTATTTTAAATGCTATTTATTAATCGTTCCTAAATAAATACAGTTGCGAATTTTTATGTAAAAACAAAAAAAAAATCCTTACCTTTCAAAGGATAGTCCATTTAATTCAATAAAGAGAGTTCTTCTAGAAGAATTATTATTATTAAAAATATGTTGTCCTTTCTAAAGGATTCGGAGAAAAAAACAAACGTCTCTCCTATTCCTATATCGATAAGACCCCCTTGGCGCCCTCCTCAAATAGGATATTGCAACAGAAACATTCCTGATTTTCTTCAAAAAATTTATTAGCTTACGAGTTGGCGACACGACTACAGAACGTCAGCACCATTGTTAAAATTCTGAAAGAATGGACGAGGACTTGTTTTAAAAGTGAAAGAATGGTAAATGCTTTATGATGGGGTTGGATGGAGCCAGGGTAAGAATTCTTATTATCAACAGATTGAAGGAACCATTCTTGTTGGAACAATTTATTTTTATTAAAAATAAAAATCTAACTCAAATAATTAGTTCGGAATGGGGAGTATTACGAAAAATGCACCAAGATGACGTTTACGTTATATAATTGTACAAGTTCAATTCAAATGTCTTGGGAAACAGTCTCCAACAAGTTGAATTTCAACAAATGGAATGGGACAGAACTTTTTCATTTTTTTTTTCTGTCAAAGTTGTGATTTGGTGATGATCATGACATTAAGACTTTAAAGTTTACGTAGAAAAAAAAATCATGATATGATACTCGAGTTCCTAAATGAGTTCCTAAATGAATTAGATACATGATACTTCCTCCGTTTCTAAACGATTGTTTGTATTAAATTTTTATTTATAATATAAAAACTAAAAAAATTAAATTGGACAATCGTTCTAAAGCATAGAGAAAAGGAGCATGGGATGTGTTTTAGAAAATGGCTAATCACTTATCATTGTACTAATTTACAAGTGACCTCCCGAAAACAAATCAATATCTCAAAAAGAGAAAATGAAGCATAGAAGGAAAATCATGCATGCAAATTGCAAATCCATGAACATCAAGTTGCAATTTGTCTAACCTAATTGTTCCAAGACTTAGAATAACCACAGCCCTATTTTTAAAGTTCCTGTTACATCGAACCAGCTGTGTTTTGAAAGGATTATGTCAATCATTTTCTGCTTTACTCCCTCCCATTTTTTGCTACAGGCTTATCATTAAAACAATAATAAAAGAGCTATATGGATGGTTTCTGGGTGAAGTTTGAATCCGTGTGACATCATTAAATTAGCTGTCACGATGGTAGTTTACCAGTGTGACGAGTCAACCCAAAATTAATTGAAAATATCACATCTAAATTATGACAATTCATTGTTTGCTAAATAGCCTTCTTTTATTTTATTTTATTTTATTTTTCTCGGAATCAAATAGCCCTATTAATAAGATATTTGAAATTGTAGCCTTGTATAACGTGTTTTTTACCGGACCTAGAATGGAGGCAAGTATGCAAATTGCTGAAAATGTTGGTCATCTCCTCTGATAATTTTTTATTTTTATTTTGGAAATGGTACCTGTTTATCAATTAAAGATACCTAGATTATTACATTGCATTCTATTATTCCTATACTAAATGTTGTTAATCTCCTCTGATGATATACTAGTATGTGTTAATACAGGAATAAACTTCGTCGCTGGTTAAGCATTCCGTTTAATAGTATAAGTCAATTATTTGTCTAAATTAGATGAAAATTGAAATATGAAGAACGCCTCGAATCAAGAGGAAAGAAAAATAGATAACGGGTAAGAAAATAAAGGGACCGTCAATGTGATTTACTTATTAAAATTCATATCAGATCTCAATCATGCCCTAATTCCATTTGATACTTTCATTTTTTTCCCCCGTAATTGAGAAATTAGACCCATTTAAACAAACTGAAATATTTAGCTAAATTAAATTTGATTGAGACATTTCATCTAAGTATTTTTCTATTTGACATGCATGCCTTTATAATTGATACAATTACTATGTGGAACACGAAATGTGATCAAGAATACTCTATGCTTTTTGTTCTTAGGTTAGGGATTCCATCCAAAGATACGCAGAATTTGGAGGGTCGTAAAAGTGAAACCAAGAAAATAATGCATAATTTGTCCGACCAACTTCAACTACAACATTATTTTGAACCCCTTACTTCACCTCGAGAACTCTATATATATATATATTATGTTGCTCCATTCACAACATAAATACATATTTGATATCCATTTTGCATACTTATACTCAAAATCTTGAAATTATGGTCCATTTAGGTACTCATATTAGTAGCACTTCACTTCTTAGTACAACTATGAGGATTGGTTTTTGTGTCACTTTGTTATTTGTAGCTGTTGTTGCTGGGAATTTCAATCAAGATTTTGATGCCAATTGGGGAGAAGGAAACGTCAAAATATCACCAAATGGTGAACTTCTTACACTATCACTTGATAAAACAACTGGGTCGGGAATCAAATCTAAGGCTCAATATTTGTTCGGAAAAGTTGACATTCAACTCAAACTCGTACCCGGAAACTCTGCCGGAACGGTTACTACATACTACGTAAGTTTTTTTTGTTGTTCGAAATTTTTCAATTTACATATGTATCTATATATTGTTTTCTTTCTTGATTACAATGGTTTAATTTTTTTTTTTTTTTTTTTTTTACATTTTTTTCTTTGGGGTGGTCTCTTATGAATTCACAGTCACATTCCTAACTAATATTAATTCGAACGGTGAGTTACAACAGTAGTACTAGTATTTTGAAAGCTTTTACATCAATTTGGTTGCACGCACAAAATATAGAAATGTTTTATGTTTTTTTTTTTTTTAAAAAAATCTTACCATTAATGTTACGTGAAGACATTATGTTATCCTTAAGTTTATGGTCCGATTTTTTTTTCCCCCCGTTTCTGGCCTTTTTATCTGTATTAATGTAAGATTGAGTATGAATGATGTTCTTGCAGTTGTCTTCAGAAGGGAAAAACCATGATGAAATTGACTTAGAATTTCTGGGGAATTTGAGTGGAGATCCTTATGTTCTTCATACCAACGTATTCACAGAAGGAAAAGGTGGCCGAGAACAACAATTCTATCTTTGGTTCGACCCTACCAAAGACTTCCACACCTATTCCATTCTATGGAATCCCCAAAGCATCGTGTAAATCTTTCTGTTTCTCCATTTATCTTGTTCCTTTAAATTCCCAAAATAAAAAAAAAAAAATGGCGAAGAAAAATTCGCATCATAAAGAAAGTAAACAAGTGCTAGGAAATTTTCAAGTTTATTATCAAATAGTTAACAAAGAAAATCATAGAGACATAAGTATGAACAAAGAAAAATCATTTTACTAATAACAATATGGAATTCGTTGGAATATATTATATGGTGCAAAGGAACATAAACATCAAGTAATGATGTGACCTAATGAATTCTAACAATGACATTTGTAGTGAAAAATATGACTTCTTCTTACAATGTAAGATACGACATTTCTACGTATGAATTGGCATTCCTTATTTTAGGTTACCAAATATTGCTATCATATATGCCTGTCACATCATTTCTGGTAATAATAAATTATGATTTTTTTTACTGTGCATTTTCTTACCCTTTCCAAAAATTTTACTATGACATAAGGGTCACAAATGATAGCATTCCTTCATTTTTTTTAATACAAGAATTATTACTTTTTTTCCTTCTAATTCCTGTATGATAAAATTGTATAAATTGTCGATTTACAAAATAAAATATACCTTCTGTCACAATATAATTTACACTAATATTGTTTGCTTTCAGAATTTCTGTTGATGGGACTCCAATAAGACAATTCAAGAATATGGAATCCAGCGGAATCGCTTACCCAAAAGAGCAGCCCATGTGGTTATACTCAAGCCTTTGGGATGCTGAAGATTGGGCCACAAGAGGTGGGCTTATAAAGACTGACTGGACCCAAGCTCCATTTGTAGCTTCCTACAAAAATTACAGTGTTCAAGCTTGTCTTTGGTCTCCATCAAGTTCTTCAAGTTCTTGCAACTCAAACAATAACAGCGACAATTCATCATCAAGTTCTTCTTGGTTGAATGAAGCTTTGGACAGTTCAGGCTTAGAAAGAATTAAATGGGCACAGAAAAACTACATGATTTACAACTATTGCTCTGATAAAATTCGCTTTCCTCAAGGATTTCCTGCTGAATGTTCCTCATAAAGATTGGTGATTGATTTATTTTCTTTCTTCTTTGAATTTGTTTAACCATTTTCCCACTCATTTTTCTTGATTTGAAATTCATATAATGTTATATGGATTGATAAAACTCTTTCAATTCTATTATATCCTGTCAGCAACATAGTTTGTACTAAAAAAGTTTGACATTGCAAGTATTTCTTTTCTTGTTGTAGTATCGGGAACCCACTACAGTTAATGTTTTCCCTTATTTTATAGGGCCAAACCTCTAACAATAATTAAGTTTATATTTACTAGAAGGAAAACAAGTTTTAGTCTAAATTTCTGTTGATAATTATGCTTTGTCTAAGGCTGATGCTCAGGTTAATTTGGGGACGTCATTCTTTAAGTGACAATAGTGAAACAAGTATCTTAAACTCATCATTCACATACAATAATATAAAACCAAATATACAAATGATAATTATTTTGGGTAATTTAAAAAATATAAAAAGATAGAAAAAAAAAAAGAGTTATAGATCGTTTCAAAATAAATAAATAAGAGAGGTGCATCGATGATATCTTGAATAATTTATTGATATTTTGTTTGGTATTGAATGAATATGAAATCATTAAAATTAATTATAATAGAAAATTTATATAATTTTTAAAAAAAAGTATTTTAAAAACCACAATTTGCTGTTACTGTCAAAACACAAATTAGGATCCAAAACATATTGTTGTTTGTGTGACAAAATTAACCCCCGTTAAGTCAGGGAAATTATTCAGTGCAGTTGCTGTATCACGTAGGATTGGGCAGCCAGACACAATAATATGGGTAAAGTAGTAATTTTTGGGGGAGAGGAATAATTCCAACGGGAGTTATACCACTAAAATAGGATGTGCAACTTGCTGCACTAAAATCCAGGATACAGCAGCTGTACCCAATAATTTTTGATTAAGTCAAACCCAACTCATTTCTTTTCCCCCAATTTCTCTCCCTCTTCATACGTGCTTTTTTTATTTTTTATTTTTCAGAAATCTTATTTTCAAGCTTTGAATCGGAATTTGCCTCAATCCTGATACCGTAATTTTTCTCCTCCATCTCCCTCAAAAATCCAATACTGATCTCCCTCTAAAAATTAGGAATCAATCTTAGTACCGGATTTTTCTCCTTCATGTCCCTCCAAAATCCCTTAATCTTCTGCCAAAAATTAAGATTTTATCAACATATATATCCGGGACTACAAATCCATGAAAATCTTGTATTCTTTAATTTTAAGTTGAATCAATTATGGAATCTGAACAATTTCTTAGATAAGTTTGAGTTTGTGTTTTCTTCACTCTATATGCAACTTCATTTTATTTGGAAGATCATTTTATTTGTTGGTTTATGTTTTGGTTTTCAATGAAAGTTGTAGACATTGTTTTGTTTCTCTAATAAAAAAACATTTTGCTTATTATATCCTAAATCACTCTTGAATAGTGGAAGATGGCTAAAATATTGAGCATATTTTCCTACTTTGAAACAGAATGTGGTTAGATGAGAGATTGAAAATGGCCAGGAAAAGAGAAAAGTGCAGGAATATTTGTAAAAGAGTAACCAACAATTTGGCGTTGGATTTTGGAGCGATGAGCAAAACCGGTACTCAGTGTTGATGCATACGCGCCGCCGTGTTAAGCAGATAGGAATTTTCAAAAAAAAAAAAAAGTTAAATAAAAAGGAAAAAGGGCACGTATGAAGAGGGAGAGAAAGTGGGGGAGAAGAAGTGAGTTGGGTTTGACTTAATGGGGGTTAATTTTGTCACACAAACAACAATATGTTTTGGATCCTAATTTGTGTTTTGACAATAACAGCACCTTTGATGATATATATGCTCTTTTTCTTTTATACCCATTTAAATGGTGATATAAATCAATAAATATATTACAGTATTTTTATTTTTGGAAATAATTTGAGAATCATTTATATCATTAATGTCTTATACATTATTATTATTGATTAATTATAATTAACGATTGAAAAACTAACAATAATTGAAGATCGGGAAAATTAATATATATATATATATATATTTTTACCAAACTACGTTTTTTTTGTTGGGCTGGAAATGGTTGAATGTGAGCGCGACACGTTAGTCTGCAGTCTCATTTGGACTTCTCTTTTAATAGAATATATATATATATATATATATATATATATTTATATGGATATGCTAATTATCTTGCTTGTGTTCTTAACATTTATTGTAAATTTATTTTTTTATTTCAACGACTAAGAATTAGTCATCCAACTTCACAGATAGTTTTTTTTTTTAATTACCACTGTTCATGTAACACCAAAATCACTATTAAGAAAATGAAACAAATTTGTTGACAATATCACATAAATATAAGATAATTTAAAAAAAAAAATTCTTATTAAGGTCGTTACACCTTTTATAATTCTATATGAGGGTGTGAAAATTTTAAAATTACTAATAAGGGTGTAATAAATGCTATAATACACTAAAAATATTTTCTTGACATGTCTATCCTTTATGTGTAATAATTAATGATATTTTTTGTTTATGTCCTTGACTAAATATTATTCTTGTTATATTGGATTCTTCTTTTAATTTTTTGTTTTCAAAAATCTACCAAACTCAATAGTGCAATTCATATCACTTTAATTTGACATAAAGGATTTGTTGTAATTTAGATCCAGCACTCTCAGTTAAAAAAATAAAAAAAAAAAGCTGAAATCACAGCATATTTAAGTGATTTTTGAAAACAAAAAGACGCCAGATTTTCATCCTTTTTAATTTTATGCCTTCAAATTTTATTCTACTTTTATGTAAATTTTCCCGCGGCTTGATTATACATTCCATGCCAAGTCTATGAATTATTATCTTTTTAAAGTTATGTTTGTAATCATTAGGATGAAAAGATCAATTCTTATTTAAATTATTTCATCATTCATGTGTAGAAATTGTAATGATTTGATGGTTTAATTAGTTTTTTATAAAGAGATATCGCTTATTCACTTTTAAGGATATTATCATATGAATGTTTAAAAAATTTATATTTTTGGTATCCGATATTATTGAATTTCATGACTTTTTGAGGAGAGTTATATGGGTTTCAATTTCAAATGAGAATTAATGAAATGTCTTTCCTTCTAAAAGCATGATAAAAAAATATAATGTGAATTATTAATAAAAGGGAAAAAAATGACATTAAAAGTGTATTTAGTGCATTAAACATTCATTATGCCCTCGATAGGAATTTTAAAAATTTCATCCAATAATAAAATGTGAAACACCTTATTAAGAATTTTCCCTAGAAAAAAAGCATTCCATCTTAAATTGAAAGATGTGTTACATATTGAAATTTATATTTTTGTACTATCATTTACCATCATATTTTGTTAGACTTATTTATTATTTACATTTGCTCGAAAAATATATATATATATATATATATGTATGTATCTATCCAGTTAGTACAACTAATATACTCTCTCCCCAATAAAAATGTTCAATTTGATTAAGAAAAAAATTATCCGACAAAAATAATCCAGTTGAAAAAAAGTCAATTTAACTACCCTTTTTGATAAATTGATTTAAGCGGTACTGAATTTAACAGCGATGTGTCAGGTCCAAGTTTCAGCGATTAATCCTTTATCCCAAATTACCTGGCGATAGGGTTGGTGTTGGAATTCTACTTCCAAGACTAGTGGACAATAATGGTTACACTAGATCAAAGAACAAGATGAAGAATTTATGGTTAGGACAAAATAAAGTTTTGTCTCCAAGTCACATGTAAACTTGCTTTCCTTTAGGCTAAATTCACCCACTATACAGTATAATTGTCTAGGCGAATTCTATATGAGATAAAATGGAGATCATGTTGTTTTACTATACACTTTAGTGAACCAACAATCTGATACAAGGATAAGAAATGTCATTGTAAATATTCCAAGTATTTGGTGATTTCATTGTACACTAAAAGCATCCAAATGATCCATATTTATAGAGTTAGAGGAAACTCTTGAAGATTAGACGTAACCCTTGGTTATGGTTCTAGACATAACTTTTTGTTAATGTCTTTTCATATGGAGTTCATAGGCACAACCTATTAGTTGTATCTCTACAATATATTGAAAATACCCAATATACACAACATATTAATTGTGTCCCTACAATATATTGAAAATAACTCCAATAGTTGGTCCGTTGGAGGAGGAGCCAACCACGTTGACATAATTTCCTGTGACAAAAGAGTTAGAAAAAACAGTACGGGGCTGTCTTCTCTCGCCGGCGTAACTCCCCATTCTCCTCTGCCAACAGCTGAGTTCTGTTGTCTGTTCTGCCATTTCTTTTAGATAGATGAATAAAACTTATAACGGATCTCGCAAAATAAGTAATTTTTGCTTGTTCACAAACGAAAGCTCAGGCTATAGAATGAATTGCACAAAAAAAAAAAAAAAGAAAATTGTTCCTTTTGAAACTGAAATAGGAATTTGAACTTCCATCAGACCTAATGCACTTGTTGCCTCTTGCAATGATGCCCGCAAACATGTAAGAACTTCTGTCTGTGAGATTAACAAGGGATTAGTCCACCAAATTCCCTTTCTTGTTCTGTACACCACCCTGATTACAGAGTTTGATCAGTTCCTTTTCCTGCTTGAATAATGTCCAATTACAGTATGGATGTGATAAAAATCTGAATTGACAATTTCCAAATGTCTCGCATTTCTCTTATTGACCATCCAATTCTTTTCATTTCTCTCCAGCCAAATTCCCCAAATAATGAGTAAAAGTAGAGCTATTGCTTCCTCATCTGGCACTTCGTCTATCCATTTTTGGAGCAATTCTATGAAACTAATTTCTTCATCCACATCGTGATAAATTAAATACCAACATGGCGATCCTCAGATTCTTTTTGAGTTTTCTCAGACGATGATGAACAGACAACCATTATATCTTCTTCTTCGAGATGACATCTTTCTTTTTGAGTTTTCACAGCTGATGATGAACAGACGACTACTATATCTTCTTCTTCTAGATGACATCTTGGACACATAGTGGCTGGCACCCTCCATTTTCTTCAACTCTTTTTTTTTTTTTTTTTTTTGTTGACAGGGACCATTAAATGATGCTCTCCATGCTAGCATTTTGTACTTAGTGGGAGTGAGGTTGATTTAATAGCGGAGAAAAAACACCAGAACTCAAATTTGGTTCCTTTCCTCTTATTTTTGGGGTAGTGACTGTCACTCCTTGCTAAATCATGACTCGGTTGCCTGAATTTGACTTCCCATTCAGCTGAATACTGAATATCTTACCTCTTCAACATGTTTTCCATGTAGTCTGACCCAATACAGAATACTCTGCGTCCTGTTTGGATGATGGGATCTTCTAAAGTCAGCAGCAGAAGCCAAAAGTTGTGTTTTGCTCAGTGAATTTTCAGCCTTGGAAACAGGAACACCGGTGGCAACAACAGAGTCCACCATATCGCAATTAGCATTATCACCAACAGAATTGGAGTTTGTAACAGGACTGCTTGCATCAACATCCATGCCCATCCAATTTTCACTAATATCTTCCCTGCTACGTTCATCTTCTGTGGTAAGAGTACCGGCACAACCTTTTTCCTATAGTCTTCTTTCATGAGGACTCATCTCAACAAGCAAAGCTCTTTCAAGATCTTCATTTGCGAGTTCCCTTCATCCATTATACCGCATCACTATCTGCTAAAAAATCAGACATCAACTAGAGCTTAATAAATTAGAATGCCAAAAAAAATGAAAAGCTGAAATCAATCAGAGTCAGCAACCATGTTCTAAGAGATTCTTAAGGCTCTCATACACCACTAATTGGAAATGGTCACTTGTTGCTGAAAACCTTTTCATGTTGTGAGTTGTTAGACATTTTTTTGGCCTCATTAGTCCTTTAGAGGTTATCAATGCTAGCTAATCTGCATCCTCAACTTTGTAGTGCAAGTACTAGTCAGCTTTTTATCTAAAGTACGGATTTCTTGCTTGGGAATTCTAATTTGGTAGTACACTAGTATATAAACAACATGCCCTCTCAATAGGACTTCCATTAACTCAAGTTTACATGCATTGACACATATTCCGCAGAACTATAGGAAGCAGAGAACAAACAGTCCTGAGCCAATACATTTTTCGCGTTAGCCCAGCTCAGCAATCTGAATATCGAAAAGAGAGCTAATATCAACAACAAAGATATTCAAGATTGACATGTCATTCTTTTGTTCCTCTTTTAAAACAGAATCATTCTAAAGAGCGGCCCCCTTACAAGCCTTAGTGTAAATTTTTTTCTAACTATTTAATCTGTTGAAGACAAGTTTCTCCAGAGTCTATTGTTCCTCTGTTGCAGATGATTTCATACTAAAGCCAAAAAACATGATACTGCCTGAGAATAGGGTTCTTTTGCTTTTCAAGTTTTAAACACACTAAAACAAGAAGTGCATCCTCTCAAAACAATAGGTTACCTGGTAATGTGATATGTTTTACTCTTCTACTAGATAAATATCTTCATCTGACAAGTGGCATTCAAAACTCATCTCCTCGTAGAGCGAGTTCAACACTCGATAAAGCTCTTGAGCATAGTGTAAATATTCATCAGCATGAAATTCAAGAAGTTGAGAGTCTGTCTCAATCCAGCTACAACCTGGAGTTTTTGTCACCCCTTTCTGTCTCATCAACAATCGTACCCTTGCTGAATCATTCCATCTGCGTTCATTTGCATACAACTTGGACGAAATCACATAATTGCCAGAGTTTGAAGGCTCCATCTCCAGGAGAAGCTGCGTCACACGCTCACCAACATCGATATTTCTTATTTTGTGACAGGCTCCTAGGAGTGATCCTAAAAGAACTTCATCTGGTTTTACAGGCATCTTCTCAATGAAGTCCCAAGCTTCATACACTCGACCAGCACGAGATAACAAATCCACCACACAAGAGTAATGCTCTATTTTGGGAGTTATACTAAATGATGAGCTCATTAATTCAAACAATCGGCATCCTTCATCAACCAATCCAGCATGCACGCAAGCAGAGAGTACACTAATGAATGTAATATCATTTGGAGAGGCACCACCTCCTCGTACCATGCGATTGAAGAGTGATATAGCCTCTTGCGCTCGCCCATGAAAGGCAAGTGCCGATATCATTGCGTTCCAGGATACTTCATTTTTCCTTGTCATGTTTTCAAAAACTTGGAATGAATAATCCAGATTCCCACACTTCGCAAACATGTCAATCAAGGCAGTGCATACATATATGTCATGCTTTAAGTCATGTAGTAGAGCATACTCGAAAATATGTTTTCCAATCTCCAAAGCTCCAACAGATGCGCATGCAGATAATACTACAACCATAGTTATTCTATCTACCTTCACTCCTGCAGCTTTCATGTCTTTGTATAACGAAATTGCTTCATCTGAATAGCCATTTTGTGCATATCTGAACAGGTGATGAAGAAAAAAGTTAGGAAGCAATGAATATGCAAAACCGCATAAATAAAAATAAACTAAAGAAAATACTGCACAAACAAATAAAAAAATAGATCCGACCTTAGCCAAATCAGCTATATGCTAAAGCATGACAGCGAGTGGAAAAAACTCCAACGTTTTCTATTAGATTTAACATAATTGGCAGGGTGTTAAGCAAGCAATCCATGGTTGCTATAACATGTTTTTGAGTTCAATAAAGAAAGAAGAACAATAAACTTATCTTAGAAAGTAGAACGACTTTTAACTATTTTGAAAGAGAACGGAACAAAAGGTCACAATCTTATGTAGGTCAATCGATTGTATACTACCGTGAGCTAAGAATGCAGTATGTACATCATGTAGCATATAGTTCTTTTAATATTCCCCAAAAGACTTTCAAAGAAGTAAACTTGAGCAATTCCCTCCGTTCTCTCCAGATCTTTATATTCTTCAATTTACCTCTTCATGTGATATCATAAGCATTCATTAATGGGAAGCAAAATCTTCAGATTGGTATCATAAAGAAGATGACAAAGTAAAGAAAGGTTACCAAAAACTATATTTATTAAATCTCTGTTGTCATGGTCATAGATTGATCCATATACCTGAAATAATTTTCAGTTACTTTTCATGGAATTGGAAGACAAAAAGTAATATTTCATATGACAAAGGAGCAATGTAATGAAGGAAGGACATTTCACAGGTTTATTATTCCTGTAATTAGACTCTGAGAACCTAAAGAAAATGGGACCCCAAAAAATGAGAACATCAATGCCTTCTTGCAAGAAGGCGAACTAAGAACAACATTATGATCTTAATTCCAAACTCTAAATAAATAAAGCCATAGTGCTTCCATGACAAATTTCTACTTGACACAACAAATTATTCTTTAAAAATCATTCTATTCCTTCAGATTTTGAGTCTCCATCTAGAAAGTTGTTGTCTAACATTATAATAATTTAAACAATGGATGATTTTGGAGAGAAATTTAAGGATGACTGTAGAAACAGTTAGCATGACAAGCAAAGATTTAAACAACCAAACAACTTGGAATTAACAGTCACCAAAAGCAATTATCCATAACATTCAAACTTCTGAATAAATCTACTGACTCGAATGAAAAGCAGAGTATCTTGCCCTGTGATCATAGCATTCCAAGTGATTGAATCTTTCATCCCCATAGTATCAAAAATCCTCCGTGCCGAACATAAATCTCTACATTTGCCATACATGTCAATCAAAGCTGAGCCGATATAAGAGTTCAATGTCATCTTGTTTTTAGTGACATAATACTCAACAGACCTCCCCAACTCCAAATCACCCAAATCTCCACAAGCTCCAAGAACACTCACTAAAGTCATCTCATCAGGTACGACCTGTTGATCTGTCATACTATCAAACAGCACCACTGCCTCTCTAGCAAAACCCATCTTTGAGTACCCTGATATCATCGAATTCCATGACACCAAATCTCTAAGTTCCATTTCATCAAACACTTTTCGTGCAAAACCTAACTGGCTGCACCTTGAATACATTGTAATCAAAGAATGGCATACGTGAAAATCCAACCACAGTCCACCTTTCAAAACTCCACAATGGGCTAATCTACCATGATCATAAGCTCCGAGGTTTCCACAAGATATGAAGACAAAAGGATAGGTAAAGTTATCAGGCTTTAGGCCTAAATACTTCATCTTGTAGAAGAAGTTTAATGCAGAATCAAATTTTTTCCACGTTGTAGTTAACCCTCTGATGAATATGTTGAAAGCATAGCCATTGGGATTCCGAAGATGGGTGAAAATGAGCAATGAATAGTTGAAGTCTTTAAGCTCAATGACTTTAGAGAGAAGAAAATTGTGTTTCTCAATAGAGTGGATGAGCATTTGGGTATGAATTTGTTGAACTTGCCTGATGAATTTGCATTGCTTTAACAACAACAATAGCTTTTCAGAAATGGAATATGCTGCACTATGTAGCTTACTATCATGAGTCATTATTTTTCTCGTTTGATAAATGAACATCCGATGGGAAAGCCTAGTTGAAGACCATGACGCTATCTTGGATTTGAATTGCATCCTTCACACTATTCAATATCGAACCTCTGGTAAATTACTAGCTCATTCTCCTACTCTGCAATACTCATGACTATACTGCACTCCACTGCACTGCACTGTCCTGCGTATGTTTTGGTATTTACTTTTCAATAAAAGTGATGTATTCAAGCTGAACTAAATTAACATTTGGTTGAGTGACTGATAATAAAAGCACATACAATACTCTAACATAATAAGTCCAGCACGTTCAATCCTGAGTGGAAAAGTTGAAGTTTTAAAAACTCATTAAACCTTCAACCTGATATAATAAAGCTCTTATTAACTTCATATCCAGCTCTGTTTCCATACAAAATGTGCATTAATTGTGTATGCCAATGCAGAAAACGATAAGCAAAATAAATTCAAAAGGATGACAAGTAAATCATCAAAGTCACTGGGACATTTTACCAAACACAAGAGCCTGCATAAAAATCAAACTCTACACGGGCGACCCACAACATAATTTCAATAGAAGTTGTGTGGTACACATAAAACTCCGATAAAAAGGCCCGACAAACGTAAAAGTAATAAAATAAAATAAAATAAATAAATCATAAATAAAAGATTGAAGAACAAACTTGATCACCACCTGTAATGTTAAAAACATGGATAGCATGATGGGCTGGACCTAATCAGATCATAACCCAAAAGACAGAGTCAAACAGGCTAACTCCCAAATTTCAAAACTAAAATTAAACATCAAAGTGATTTGTAATCCACGGTGAAAGCCAAGGGGGTGTCAGCTTTCAAGTTTCAAGAGATGAATATTTCAGAAGAAAAGCAAGAAAGAGCCCAGCCTTTTTTCTAATGAAACGTCGCGTTTATTTCCCTGGAGAGAATATGGTTATTGTAAACCTTCAAGCCTTTGTTCAAAGTATAAAATTAGCTAAGGTCAACCAATCAAGGAGGAGAACTACCAGCAGCCGATGTATTTTTTGCATAAAGTAAAGACTCAAAATCGAATAGTTGTAAAACAATGAACTACACAAACATGATTTAACTTCACGTGTAAACAATATGAGAAAAAAATATAAATACCAAAAACGCGAAGGAGAAATTTTCTAAACCCATATTTTCATATGGTTTTGTATCAAGCCAAAGACCACTGTCATGTGAGCATTTTCCGGTTTCTATAAACTTGTGAGTATCCAAGCAAACTGGAAAACATAATTCTGCACGTAGCCAAAATTATTACAAACCAGAGGAAAAAGTGTTGCTTTTTTAAAGAAAGTTCTGCAGTTTCTCATTTGATGAGTCTATTCACGAATACACAGCTTGTCATACCTCAAAACATACATAAATGCAGACAATCCCGATAAATAAAATATCATAACCAAAGACCATGTAGATGCACAAAGAAAAGGGAAATTATGCAAATGCAACAGAGGAATTCACAACACTAACAACCTTATCGCAGTGATAAAACAATAATACCAATTCCAAGGAGTCATGACCAATTTAATTGCGATAGTCTAGCAGCCTAATTTAATCGTTAAATTGACAGTAACTACAAGGAAATCCCCATACCCAATCAAATTATAACATTGCGCCCTTATACATCACTGGAATAGATTTTCTAATGTCAATAGTGCATTGTGGTGCAAATATGTGTGTTTCTTTCAAGCAGGATAAGTTCCTTGAAATATAGCTACCAGATTGAACTCAATGCTTTCATGAGTATAGCTGCGATGGAGTACATTATTATCAATGGCATGGCAAAGAAGCTCACAGCAGTCCATTGCAAATACAAAACTAAATAATTCTTTAGTATGAAGATATGGTGAGTGTTTGTTCGTTTAATCTTGGCATGACTCTTATGCATTTAGCCGATTCTGGCAAAGCAAATGTGTCAGAAGTTCCAAATAAAGTCTTTCTTATGTGATCATCTACAAATTGCAACTTAGATTATGTTGCAATTTGTGAGAGTACGGGATATGCTCTAAGTTTTCCCGGGCATGACACGAACCACAAACAAAATCAGCACACTTTCCATAATTTTCCTTGATATATACAGAGAAAAATACTTCATTTGATTAATATCAGTGAATTCTACAAATCACATCTGTATACATCACAAAGTTGACACAAAGTACTTTTCAAATCACAAAGTTGACATCAAATCTGTATACATCCTGACAACATGCAATAGATTAATTGTCCAATTACTCCTTACGCGGATGAACTCCAGCATGACTCATCATCTATTCAAAGTTTTAAACATCCATTGGTGAACACTTGACAGTTCTGAATCAGGACCGGCGGAGCGGCGCGTATGACTTATTTTCGACGAAGGAAAACAAGGTATGTCTATGAATCATTTGTTTAAATTAGAAGATGGAAATTTCAATTATGTTCTCCGGACTACTGATGGAAATTAATGAACTTCGGAGGAGAGGACAGTCGCCTAGGGAGACTAATATTGGTAGAAGACAGTAGAAACGTCTAGAAACTGAAGAGTGGGCATGTTTTTTAAGAAATTACAAAAATACCACTCGTTATATAGACGTAGGAACGACGACGAAATACTGTAGAGTTGAGGCCTCTTGCTTTTATACATATACTAGCGGGGAGCGCCGCACAAGGTGCGGTGCTTAGTAGTAACCAACCCAGGCAACTAACAGTCTAACAGGAACATCGGTTTTACTCCACTTCAAAGAAAAGCAGGACAACATGATATAATTGTTCGTCAACCTCATATGTCAATGAAATATTACATATACAATGTCAACCTCCCGCCAGCTAAAAGAATTCTTAAAACGGTTCGAAACTATATATCTGATTGCTTCATCCAAATTTATTATAAGCCACAAACCAATCAGTTGTATAGACCATTCTGATTACTTCATGCAGCAATGCACAATTCCAAAGATTACCAAAAGCAAGCAGGATTGCAATAAAATCAAAACAGGAAGTGTTTCAACATTAAGTATAGAACTATCTTAAAGATTACGTACATAAAAAATGCAAGAAGTTGAAAGCATGTACATATTTTTTTACATTTCTAACATGTGAATTTTGCTTGCGTTGAGAGCTAAGAGTTCAGTTTGAATTCGATGGTAACAGCGCGTTCCAAGAGAAGAGGCTCCATTCCATGTTGAACGTTGTTTAGCTAATCCAAACATTTCAGTATGCAAACCTGGTTCTCTTTCAATGTGTTAATCTATCGTAATACAGGACACCAATGATCGAAACATAGCTTTGGCTATTGTCTCGAACCTACTAAGATACAGGCTGGTTTGTTTCTTTTTTTTTTTTCCCTCTAAGAAACATACAGGCTGTGAAACCTCACAAGTAGTCATAAGAAACACATCACGTGTATTATGACACCTTAACCTTAATTTTTGCTTAAGCATAATACAAATGCCTAAAGCTTCGGTTCACTCAGTTTGTCGAAGGATATTACTTTTGCCTTACCTAATAGGTAAAGGCAAACATTTTTAATTTTGTGATCAATCAACATAGTTGAACCTCAGAATACATATTTATACAAAAGACCCAGTCTCATTAAGCAAATCACTTGTTTTGATTCAAAAGCAGAACTTATACGAAGAAAGGAAAGAAAAAGTGACACTTTTAGTTTGCACGTACCATTCCACTTCAAATGCAAAGGTATGAAGACAATTACAAACAACAACCTAAACTAAAGATTAGGAGGGATTTTCAGAGAGTTAAAGTGCTGGAAGATTGATTACAGGAATACATGTATACCCAAAGTTGGAATTCTTTTACAAGCAAGAAAGTGACATGAAATGCCAACTTAACAATCTTCGAGATCAAGAACCAAACATTTAGGTACAAATTGCAGAAACGAAAGAAAAATCGAATATACTCATAAGCACAAAAAGATGTTGTGAATTATTTTTCAGAAGACATAACAAGATGCCTATTCTCTGTCTATTGGATTTTCAGTTTGGTCCAAATGACTATTCCTGAAGAGTTACAAAGTAAATGATATCAATACACTTTTGCATCTAAGTAATCACTGAATAGAGAAGATGAGCTGAGGTGATCGATGTTGATGGTAAATATAGGTACCAGCAATTGGTTTTTGGATTACAAGCAAAGTGTTTTTAATTTATTTTTATTTTTGGCTTCATGTCAGGGTGGTTACAGTGCGCAACTTATTCCAGTATTAGCATAAACTTCTTCTTTTTTCTTTTCTTTTTTTTTTTTTTTGTGTGTCGCAGCGGCCAAAAGAACCAAATGACCTCTAAATTTTGATTAAAGTGTTCAAAATGTGCACTCCTAATTGAACCAATTCTTGCTTCTCAACAGGTTTGAAGAAAATTTAGGCATGAAAGTACAAACAAAATATGTTTCTTGGCCAGATTTACATTAAAAAATCAGCTAGGCATAAAATCGAACATGTACACTGCAAATGTAAATCAAATAATTTAGCAAATGAAATCAACAGCAAATGTAAACCCACGTAGTAAATGAAATTAACAGTAAAGCAATTGCGACATATCTAAAAGTAAAGAGATGAATACAGACACATGACCTGCGTCTCTTTCGTGAAACACATACATATCAGACGGAATGTATATAGTATAAAATTTTTGGTGAGACAGAATGCATAAAAAACATTTCTCCTTCCGACTACTTACCAGATGGCGGCGAAGCTTTTCGGCGAAACTTTTAGCGACGCAATGATTTCCCCAAATGATATACCCACGTTCCCTATTTTTTGAGAAGAAAAGGAGAGAAAATCAAGTAAATACAGCGAGCGACCCATTCGAAATCAAACCGCTGCAGCGAGCAAATCAAACATTACTAAAACCGAAAAAACTAAGATTGAAAGGCAAAGAACATTGGAAACCTTACTGTTCTGTCTTCTACTTGAAAGCATCAATTTCCTCCCCCTTCACTGCACTACAAACCGCTCCACAGTGGAAACAAATTGAAGAAAGAAGAAAAAGGAAACGGGCAGAGATTAGACATGGTAGAAACCGGGAATTGAAATGCGAGTGATAGGCAACAAT